TCGATAACTTAGTAGTAAATCACTAATAACGTAATAGTAAAATATTGATAATTTAGTTGTAAAACACTGATAATTTATTTATAAATTAATGATAATTTAGTTATAAATTAATTAATTATTAATAACTTTATTGTAAATCATCAATAACTTTATAGTAAATTAGTAATAACATTAAAATAAATTATTAATAACTTAATAGTAAATTATTAATAACTTAGTAATAAATCATTTATAACTTAATAGTAAATCATCTATAACTTAGTGATAATTATGATAATTATAGTAAATCAGTGATAACATAGTAGTAAGTGAGTAGTAACTTATTTGTTAATTAGTGAGAACAATTTTTTTAATACTTAAAGTTACTAATGATTAGACCTTGGTTACTAGAAAGAGAAAAGGATTAGGATAAACCTACCATGAACTTATTCATTAAAAAATTTAATAAAAAATTTTAAATTTGAACGAAACAATAATGTTATATTATATAAAAAGAAAATTATCTCATATATTGTAATTAATTGATAAAATTAATAGTCTATCATAAATAACTTAGTAGCAATTTAATGATAATTTAGTAGTAAATAATTGATAACTTAATAGCTAACTATTGAAAACTTAGTAATAAATCAATAGTAATTAGTAAATGCATAATAATATAATAGTAAATCACTGAATTTAGCAGTAAATTACTAATAATGTAGTAATAAGTCACTTATAATTTAGTTGTATATCAATGATAATGTTGTAGTAAATCATTGATAACTTCATAATAAATTAGTTATAACTTTATAAAAATTTATTAATAACTTAGTATTAAATCATCGATAACTTAGTAATAAATCATTCATAACTTAATAGTAAATCATTAATAATTTAATAATAAATCACTGATAATATAGTAATAAATCAGTAATAACTTAATTGTTAATCAATGATAAGGCTTTTATATTTGAAGCTTAGGGATTGAACTTCAGTTACTAGTAAGAGTGAAATAAAAACTTAGTAATAAATCAATTATAATAATAAATAAGAGTTAACTTAGTCATAATTTATTAATAACTAAACGCTAAATCACTTATAATTTAGTTAGTAAATCAGTGATAACAATAAATCAATGATAACTTATTAGTAAATTAGTTTTAGTTTAGTAGTAAAATCTGTATAACTTAATAGTAAATTATTTATATTTTGATAATAAATTAGTGAAATGACTTAGCAGCAAATCATCGATAACTTATAGTAGTAAATCATTACTAACTTAGTAGTTTTTTTTTTTTTTTGGTTAAATATAGATATAGAGCTATATTTTTTAATATATCTAACATATTTAATTCATTTAAAAAATTATACTAATTACCATTTAATACTAAGGTTTTGAGTTACAATATTTATGGATATTATACACATATATAAATAATTAAAACAATATACATGTACCAGTTACTATAGCAACATATTTTTATTAAAAAAAATCAAATTTTGAAGTGAAAATTTGGAATAACTTTATCTATATTTGTATGTCATTGATAATATATTAATAGTAACTAGATTAACACTATATCTTTACTCAAATAAATTGTTGTGTTTTATGGTATCATTTATAACATTGATAGCAATTATACAAAAAAATTTTGTCTTTAAAGATATTTTTAAAATGAAAGAGAAAAATAATGAGTCTAAATTTATTGAAAAACATCATAGAAAAACTACCTATTAGTTATTTTCTCAAGTATAATATTTTAAATTAAAACATATGATCTAATAATACTAATAATAGTATGAATTCTATAAATTATAATTTTATAACAATATCATTTAAATGATAAATTTTTTGTATAACTTATACTTGATATATAATTAAGTGTTCATCGAATAATGAAATTACTCCATTTTAATTAAAAAAGAGTTCAAATATTAAAAATATATTCACTATCAATTTTAAAGTCTAAGATTTAAAACATAGTTTATCTTCAAAATATATCTTTTGATATTTGTCTAAAATAGATCATATCTTATTAATTTTAAAATTATGATATTTCACTATTTAACAAACAATAATAATATTGAACCAAAGTTAATCAAAAAAGTATTTGAATATTTAAAGAATAATATAAAAAACTATTTGATTAGAATAAGGTATACCTTCAAGCAAAGTTTGTTATTTAAACTTTTAGTATATAACATATTTTAATAAGTTATGTATATTTAATTGCTTTTTAAGAAGTCAGTATTCAATACTAAAAGTAGTTTTAGTCAATGTCTCATATAAAAACATAAATAAACATCATTGATTATTACATCGAAATACTAATAGTTTTTTTATTACCTTATATCCTTTTTTAGAATATGTTTACAAATTAATATTTTTAATTAGTAAAATTCATGTAAGTATGTATTTTTTACTATAAAAAGAAATTACAAAATGATTTATATTACATAAATAAGTACATGTTAAAAACAAAAGTAAGTAATGAGAAAAAAATTATATATTTACTTTATTTCAAATAACAAAAACTTTATAACAACTTGGTTTCAAATCAAAATAATGAATTTAAATTTTCAATGACAAATAGATGAAAAGTAATATTTTGAATGAGTTTGGCAATGATCAATTTCCTAAAAAATTTATAAAATTAAAGATAAAAATTCACCGCTAAAAAGGTTTAAAAAAGCTCTAGAAAAAACATAAAATAGAGAACAAGGAAAGTATAAAATCCCATTTGATTGTGATAAAAGGCAATTTTTTATAGTAAAAAAAATTATATATATATATATAAAAGAATGAAGATGATGACTTAACACTAAAAGACTTAAAAGAAAACTTATGAAAAGAATCAAAATAAAGAAACATTAAATATTTATTTTTTTATTGAAATTTTAATTTTAATTTTTTGTTATATTTATTTTTTAAAACTTAAATTTATATTTTTAATTTAATTCAGTATGATGATAATTATTTCAATTTTATTATTATAAAATATCAAAATTATTAAATTATATTATAATTATAATTTGATTAACAATAACGTGCATAGCACGTGAAATAAAACTAGTATATATATGTATGTATATAAATATTATATACATTTATACACACACTTCTATTTCACTATTTGTAGCCGTTAGAATGCAATTCATTTTCCATGTTCCTGATTTTGACCCAACGTTTCCCATATAAATCGGATGTGAATATATCATGTCAATTAACGGTTTGAAATTTTAAACCCAAATGGTCCCCATTATTAAGTCCCGTTATGAAAAGGAGCAGCAAAAAGAGAGAAGTTTAAGAAACTCATACTTAATATTTCACAAGGGTGGTTTATAAAAGAAGAAACTATATTACAAATAAAACTTTCACAATAAAAAAGTAAATGAGCACCTTAAATAAGTAATAACTAAATGAATAGGATCTGATATGATTAAAAAATTCATGATAAATAAGTATGAAAAAGTAAATGAACACCTTAAATAAATATGAATAAATAAATGAATAGGATCTGATATGATTAAAGAGTTCATGATAAAAACATTAAAAAATACAAATAAATTAATAAAATTATTTTAATAAAGTAACTTTAATAAATAAAAGTAATCTCTTTTATCAAAATATCTTTAATAAAATTGACATAAAATAAATATGACACAAAGCAGACATCTTAACATAAAAGTGACTTGAGGTGATACCATTTGTCTTAAAACTAATGTAGAAGAGTTTCATATTGAACACTTGCACATTGAATAATCTTGCATTTTAAGTGTTGGTGGCTGGGATCCATCAAGTTTTTCTTTGGGTTAATGACTGCTTAATGAAAAACATGGAGTAACTTCTTTAGGCGTCAGAGAGGAAATTCTATAACAATACGGTAGAGGTGAAAAAGATATCACATAAAACAAACTGTTTTTTTTTTAGAATAAAAGTGAGTCAAGGAATTTGAAAGGATGGATAAATGATAATCTAAGTGTATTCCTAAAGGTTGAACGGAAGTATTTTGGACTGGTACTTATACAAGAGGTGCAGAGCCTTACCATCAAGGGATTTGGTTGCAATCAATCTTGATAACTCTAGAGGGAGTTGTTCTATTAGGAGTCGGACAAATAAATCTGGGACATCAAATTCATCATCAAAACCACGCTTTAGCACATAAGTGGGCTGGTTGATTGTTTCTCATAAAAGTCAGTGACTGGTTGGCCGGTGTTAGTAAGCAAGTTAGAGTTCGGAGTTGCAATTAAATAAGGACTAAAACTTCATCTATAGAAGGGAGTCCCGGTTGCGCTTGTAGAGCAAGAGAAGCAATTTTAAGAGAGTTGAAGGAGCCAAGTGATGTAGAGAGAGCAAGCCGAGATAAAAGAAAGCCAAGTCTTTTAATTCTCAGGTTCATCTGAGAGCGAATTCTAGTGAATTTTTGGTGCCAAAACTTTGTAATCTACGTCTTGTTTATTATAGTGAAATTTCTTTGTGTCTCTACAGTTGATGCAGGCTTAAAGTCGAATCACGTAAATGTTATTTTTTTTATTTCACATAAATAGGTTTCGACGGTTTATTCATAATGCATCACTACTGGCATGTCAAATTTATTTTACCATAAATTAATTTTCAAAACAACTGTATATGTGCCCTTGAACCAAGATATTATGTCACTACGAATTGAGTAAGATTTTGGAGTCTTAAGGAATTTTTTTTCTTCTTATTAATATCTAATATAATATATGAAGACTTGTTACAATGAAAAATTAAATACATTTTTTTTTCATGTCATAATAAATTTCACCTCACCTTCGTTTAAGAGTGATGACCGCACAAACTCGATTATGACCTTAATGTAACACTACTTAGAACCATAAATTACTACTCACAATAAATAAAAACAAATTAATGTCATCTTGGTTGACTTTAATAGTGAAGATATTATGCTTAAACTTTAGAATTTTCAATTCCAATTCCCAAGTTAATTGGATGTACGCATCACTTTAGATATGGCTAAGGCTATTACATTTAATTATGGGAGCTTGATTACTTTTGCAAGGCAGTTGTCTAAAGGCCTTGGCACTGGCAAGTACACAATTGGACCTCCAGGATTGATTTGTTCCAGTCTGAAAAAGGAAAATTAAAATAATTGTTTTGTATTAGAGCCATGACTATGTAGCAAATAGTTTGTAAAAGCTGTCGTGAAGAAGAAACCAGTGACTCACTTGCAGTTGAGGAGAAAATAGTGAAGAAATATGGAGAGCTGAAGCTTGGCCAAATCAGCTCCAGGGCAAATCCTGCTTCCACCTCCAAAAGGTAGAAAGGATCCTGCTTTGGCTTTTTGATTCTGCAAATGCAAAAGTAAATAAAGCAAAAACATTTCAGAATAACTACTTAGTGTTATATGTTAATCTTAAAAAATGGGTTCCTGGGAAGGGCTTCCAAATTGTAAATACATGATAAGAGCATTACATCCCATCTTGTAGGAAGAAACTCTTTTGGATTCACGTATGTTTCAGGGTCCATGTGAACACCCCTTGTCCAAACCAGAACCTTCCATCCTTTTGGTATGAAATAACCTGCAAGAGAAAGTTCAGAGGAAAGTGCATATATGAAATTCATATTGACTCATTAAGGAAAAATGGGGCACTTTATATGTCACTAACCATCGATGTTAACATCATCTTGTGCCACTCGGAAATTGGAAAATGCAGGATTGCTCTTTCTCAGTGTCTCATCAATCACCTATATTATCAGAATGCCAACTTTTTCATAGTTAAAGAGCCTTGAACTTTAGAGGTAAATTATCCATAGTCAACATTTACCTTTGCAAGATATTCCATTTGTCTGATATCCATAAGATTCAACCCCTTTTGTGCAGATGGTCTTCTCTTTAAGATTTCCTCCTGCTCTTCCTAAAAGCAATACTTCAGCGAAATTAGTTGAATTGACAATGGCATTTTATGAATCAAAATTATCTAAAAATACCCTCAAATAAGGACAAAAAGGGGAAGTCTAACTCTTGACGAATGCCTAAGGTAAAATTAAGCGGTCAATATGCCACACAGATCGAAGACTAAAAGTGATTCTAGTGGTTTATAAAAGTTGTTCTTATGTACCTTAGCTTTTTGTAAAATTTCTGGGTGGTCATGTAGGTAGATGGTAGTCCAGGTTGCTGCATTGGCGGTGCTTCCAAACCCAGCGGACAAGAACGTTAGTAGTAAATCAATTATATCAGTATCACTGAACTTGTCACCATTCTCATCTTCAATTTCCATAAGTAGATCGATCATGCCTCTCTTTTCATTTGGATCATCACTCTTAGCTCTGGTCCTTCTTTCATCCAGAACATCATGAAAGATCTTTACCAACATATTCCTCGCCTGATCATGCATCCAAAATTTCATCAATGTATCTTTTCTCTATCCAAAAGATTATTCAGAAATATTTCTGTTCAGTTCTATTAAAAGAAAGAATTGTTCTAGGCATGTAATTGAAGAGAATTTAGTTACCTTGAGAGCTTTATGGAACGGAAAACCAGGAATATTATATGCAGCAGATAATAATCCATGGTGGAAGTCATTATGATACTTCTTCATTGACTCACGAATTGATTCAGCACCAGATCCGATGAAGATATGTGTAAAGACCATGAAAGTGACCTTCTCCATCTCCTTCAAGAATTCAATTGGCCTGTTCATGCTGGCCCATTCTTCCAAGGCACTGATCACAATATCCACAATATATCCAATATAAATAGCAAGTGCTTCATGGCCATTAATTGGAGCTGTCGTTAGCTTGCGCAAACGCCTGTGTTCTAAATGGGAAACACCGTGAAACGACTTGCTTCCTAACAACTTCTTTACGGATACAGGGTATCCAGGAGCAAATCTTTCATCTGTCAAGACTTTCTTACATGTTTCAGGGATACAAACTATGATGCTTGGGCTTCCAAACAAGTAGGACTTGTAAATTCCAGTTCTACCATACCTTTCAACCAAGTTGTTGATGAAGGTGTCAGGGTCTTTGGATCTGAAAGCTTTGAGAAAAGACCACATATTGCCTAATATAGGCCACCCCATATCACCTGGAGGAAGGGAATGTTTCTTATCTCCCAACCTGCTAACATAGTACCACTCATTTACTTTCCTAAGAAAACCAAATAGGAAAACATAAGTTCCCAATCCAACCAAAACTGCAAGAATCAAAGGCTGGAAATCTAAATGCATTAGTGAATCTCTCTAGCTTCTTTTCTTTTGCGTCTCTTGATTCTGAGTTACAAGACTGTTTTATGCCATGGACGTATCGCTCAGTTTCCCATGTCATACGACTTTTCTCTTACTTGCTATTGAAAAACCATTGCAATGAAATTTATTCTATAATAATGACCTTGTTACATCTTTCTTGTCAATTAATCCAGTAGCTTAAAACAAGGAGAAAAACTTTAGCCGATTTATTTCAAACATCCAATGAGACAAAACAGGTGATCAACCCTGTCACCCTCTACTTACATAAAAAAAAAAAAAAAATTTCCAAAATATATGACAAAAGAATTACTAAATAGACTATTTGCAAGACAAAAACAAGGAAAGAAACATAGAGGAAATAGACAAAAATAGGCTATAAGCACTAAATGAAAATGATCCGCCAGGGACAATCAGAACGGCAGTCCCGAAACTGCAGCAATAATGGAACATGAAAAACTCTTGTATTTAGAGCTGCAAAAAGGATCTCCAATACTTATTATCTTCATACATTGTCCTTAAATTTTTAATTAATTATTAATTTTTAGCTGTTCCTCGGAGAACAAATTATACTTAGTTGTTCATCAAATTAATTACTATTATAATCACAAGTTTATGCTTGACTTGAGTAATTACTAGGAAGAAATGATCATCAGTTGACTCTAATTAACTTGTGTAATAATACTGTAATAATCTAATTATTTTCCAGCAACTTGAATTTATTATTAACATGGCATGGTGGCAGAAGAAAGTAAAGAATTAAAGTCCCCCAAATCCCAATACTTTTTTTTTTCTTTTATAGTCTTCGGCCCTCCCTACGTTTTGCAGAGGGAACATGTAGTATTATTACATATTTTCTGTAGACATCCACCGTTTGAATCTATTTTCTCGGTGAATTTCAGATAAGGATAATAGAATAAAAAATAGAATAATAAATAAAAATAGAGTTTCGTTTCTAATAAAATTGCAAGATATAATTTTTTTTTTTTTAATTTTGAAAACGAGATCAAGAAATGGATTTGTTTTTTTTCTTTTTTTAAAAAAAAAGGGGATAAACGGATTAGAGGACAGAGGGTTTTGTTTTCAAAACCCTCGTTCAATCTTGTGCACAACTTTATATATGCCACCAGCAATCACAAGAACAGACACGAACATATAGAGAGGGAGTGAGTGAAAAAAAATATATATAGAAGAGGAGAGATTTAGAAAAAAAAAATTCAAAGAAGTTTATAGCTTTATGAAGGAGTTTCTGGGATTTATCTATTGATTAGGAGATTTCTTTTTTTTTGGGATTTTTTCTGCATTTTTTGAAATTTTTTTAAAAATTTCAAAATTCGTTCAATTTTTCGACGAAAATTCAAGTTTTCTGGTGACTTTTTTGATGAAAAATCTAATTTTTAGAGATAAAACCCATAAATCTACGAGAATTTTACTGACGTTCTTCGCAAATAGAGAGAGATGCAGAGAAAACTGAAGAGAAGATAGAGAAATGGGAAAGAGCATCTGAGGACAAAAAGAATTCTTTGCCTTTTATATAGTTAAAAAACGACGTCGTTTTGAGCTAAGAATCCAACATGATCTATGTGCTTTCCTTCGATCCGACCCCACCCACTACACCTTGACTCGCTTACTCATTTCACTCAACCCTTGTTGAGCTGTTGAGCCAAGTCACACACCAAGCCGTTTCAATCATGCTCGTTTCTAGAGCCACACTCGTTCTAGTTGAGCCGAGTCATGCCAAAGTTTTTTTTTCTTTTTTTTTCCTCTATTTATCTATTTATTTATTATTATTTTGCTTATTTATTTATTGATTAAATTTGAATAATTTATTTATTTAATTAAGCATTCTTTAATTTTTCAATGATTTTCTTAAAATAAAAATTTGAAAAAGAAAATACTTTAAGAAAAAGTTGAAAATATCAATTTTCCTTGAAAATCCAATTTCAAAGAAATAATTTAAGAAAAATTTGAAAGTATCAATTTTTCTAGAAGATCAAATTTCAAAAAAATACTTTAAGGAAAAGTTGAAAGTATCAATTTTTCTTGAAAAAAAAGATTTCAAAAGAAAATTATTTTAAAGAAAAGTTGAAAGTATCAATTTTTCTTGAAAATAAAAATTTCAAAAAAATATTTTTGAAGAAAAGTTTAAAATATCAATTTTTCTTGAAAATAATATTTTCAAAAAAAGTATTTTTGAGGAAAAGTTGAAAGTATCAATTTTTCTTAAAATAAAAATTTCAAAAAAAATTTTTTAAGGAAAAGTTGAAGATATCAATTTTTCGAAAAAAAATATTTTAAGAAAAAATTAAAAGTATCAATTTTCCTTAAAAATTGAAAAAAAAATTTTTTGAGAAAAAATTGAAAGTATTAATTTTTCTTAAAAATAAAAATTTCAAAATGCTTTAAGAAAAAGTTGAAAGTATCAATTTTTCTTGAATAAAGGCATGAATTCCTTTTTTAAAACAAAAAAAAAAATGATCTCCAAAAAAATTGAAGTATTATTTTTTCTTTCCTTCTTCTTTCTTGAAATTCTTTTTAACATTAAGTAATCCAATGACGGAACCCCCGCAAAAAAATAGTAGTTTTTTGTATACTCTTGAGGTAAGAAAAATTTTTTAATTTTCTACCAAAAGTATTGAAACTAATTGATAATAATTTTTAATAATTAATTATTTGATAAGATTTTTAAGGCTTAAAAGATAACATAAAATCGAGTTAGTACCATCTTTTGATGGGCGTTATAGGAGTGCTATAACCTTTCTCATACATAATCGTACTTTTAAGACTAGTTTTAGTTTCACAGACATTGAATCTACCTTTTAAAGATACCTAAGTCAAATTTAAGATTTCTCTTTAAAAAAAGACAGATTCAATTAGGTGGCCAATCATTCCTAAATAAAAAAGATTGGTGGCGACTCCTCAAGTTAATGTCTAGTGATAGGTCTATGGATCTAGACGTTATGACAATTTGATGACTCCACTGGGATATGCTGAAAGTCATGCCAGTAAATAAATTTGTGTTATCCAAAAGCCTAATAAAATTAAATTTTTTGTAAAGATTTTTTATTCATTCATTTTATTTATTTATTTTTGCTAATTATATCAGTCATATGTATATGTATAATATGAGCTCTATACCCGAGTTTTATCTCCCTAGGATGAAGTAAAGTACCTATGCTTTTATAAGATTTTAATGCCTTCGCAATGGCTAGCAAAATACTTCTATTCAAATTAAACCTTTTTCATTTTTAGCCTATAATGGGCAATGATTGGGGTTTCTCACTAGTTTGTGATAGACAATGATGTAAAGAGCAATTTGAGAACTTTTAGATTTTTAACCTTTAAACCATATATAATGAACCGTAGAAATGCTTAACCTATAGATAAAGCCATCTCCTTCCCTTTAGAATTGACCAAAATTTTAAGATTCACTCTTTTATTGTATATAATGGTCTAATTTATTTATTTTAATTTTTTTATCTAGTGTACTAATCTTCTCTCTTATTCATTTTTGCATGATTCAACTCATATCATGAAGTGGCATAAAAAACATTTGCCTGAAAAGACAATCTTCAACAAAGAGTTTTTCATGGATTCCACAGAATGACTAGTCTGCTTTTCATCTGTATTAGCATATTATGAGTCACCCAACGAAGTAAATGTTCAGTCAAAAAAGATCCAACAAAAAGAAGGGGATTGTCTACCCATCATTCATGCTTCTACCTTGTCTCAAGAAATATCCATCATTCTCAAACAAAATAATCTAAAAGATTTAGTTGATATATAGAAGAAGATGATCCTATCAAGACAAGAAGATTTCTGCTAAAAACATCGACATATAACGCTTTTTTTTTTGCAATAAATATCGAAAATCAACTAATTAGAGCTGCAGTGCAATTTTGAGATCCTTAATACAAGTGTTTCATTTTCAGTGAAGTTGATATGACACCAACCATTGAAGAATATTCAACTTTATTGGGTTTGCACTTTAAGGCTCCCAACAAGATATATGTAAAAAAAACACAAATTAAGATTTCGTAAGAATCTGGCCCATCTTATGGGCATAAATAAGGAGATTGTGGATTATCATACAAAGAAGAAACAAGAACAGGTTTGCTTATCTTGAAAGTTCTTTCATGATTTTCTAGTATAACATGCCAACGAGGAGCAAAGGTTAGACGTGTTTGTCTTAGTCGTATATAAAATAGTGATCTTTCCAAAAGTTTTAAGTTACATTGAGATAGCAGTGGTTGATTTCTTTGAAAATGTGGTAAATAGCTGTAACCTTTCAATGGTAATATTAACAGAGACTATTAGATCTTTGAGTCATTGTTGCCAGAATGGAAGTCGTTTCACAGGCTGTATACAACTATTATATTTATGGATGAAAAGCCATTTTGAGTGTAAAGGAAGTGCATTCTTGAAGCTTTATTTTCATAATCGGGCTCCAATTAAAGAATTTTGTGAAAGCGAATGGCCAGAACAAAAGTCTAAAAAAGAGTGGGTAACTTTTTTATAAAAGTTGACAAGCACTGAGGTGAGATGATTAGTCCCATTGATGAATCGAGAACCTATGCTATATCAATGTGGAGACAACACCGTGGTTCCACTTTTGGGTTTATAAGGAGTGACAAGTTATGCCCCACTTTTAGTGAGAAGATAGTTTGGGACAAAATAGTTCATTCCCATGACACATAAGCTTTATCAGTCAGATTTTTCTTACAATGAGCCAAAAACATTTCAGAAAATGAATGATGTGATTAAAACATGGAAAAACCCCCACAGGGTTAGTCATGGACCTTTTACTGATAAAGCTACT